TCTAGCTCTAGGGTTCCTACTATAATACCTTACCGGCCCCGTAGGGGACTATTTAAGCGCTTATCGGGCCTAGTATCGGGGAGCCCTCCTATCCTTGAGTCCTTTTCGGGGGCTAACCCCTACCCCTATAAAGGGGGCGGTCCTAGTCCTAGGCGATAATAATCGGGGGGAAGATCTACGGCTACCGCGGGTATACCGTTTTAGTCTAACAGGTAATATCGAAATCCCTAGCTCGGTACTTATACGCTTCGCGGGTCCTCTTAGTCTTTTTCTTTAGTAGTTAGTATAAATTATCGAAGATATCGTAATCTCCGGTATAGGCGGCGTAGTGGCGGGGGCGCCTAAGTGCCGTAGCTTTATAGTATCCTAGGCCTTATAGGTACGCCGACTCGCGCTTAGCGTAGTAACGGTATACCCTCTCCGTTATAGGGTAGCTGTTCGCCTAGTAGCCGAAGTATAGGTATTTATAGTATCTTAGGGGGCTAAGGCTAGGATTATATAACTTATAGATATAGCTACCCCCTTTAAAGAGGAGCGTATTCCGGATAAGGCTTATTACCCCTTCCGGCGAAGCCGATTCGATAAGGAGAAGCGCTACCCTACTAGTACCGCGGCGGGGTACCCGCTATTATACTCGGATAATTTTTACTTCGGGGTTTATATCTTATAGGGATACTAGCAGGTCTTCTTCGGATAAGGCGTTAAGGGCCTCCCGGGGGATAGCCTTAGGTAGTATAGGGTAAATACGTATAGCTAGGGTAACTTCTTTACTAAAGGCCTTCTTAATCTATTATTCCTTATAGGTGGCCTACTACTATACCCTTTCGGTAAAGGTAAGGTAGATATCTCCGTTTAGTAGCTTCTATACCGCTATAGTATCGTATCGGGTAGTCGTAGCGTTTATAGCTTAGATAATTTCCTTTAGGGTCCCGGCTTTAAGGGGCTAGTCTTCGGAGAGGGTTCTTTAGCGGATAATTAGTTCCCGGTAATACCTAGCAGGGATTATTTTAGGGGGGGCGGGGTCCTATAGCGGTACCGCCACGGGAGCCCGGGCTATAATATTAGCCTAGGTCTCTTTTATACCGCTTATTCCTTTTCGGAGTTCCTCTCGGATAATATAACGAATAGTAGCGTATAGGTATACCAGCGGTATCGCGCTAGCGTCCTTATAGATACTACGTATTATAATTAGTTCCTTTACTAGCTTTATAACCTACTCGATCGTGTTCCTATTAGCTAGTAAGGCCTAAATTTCTGCCTTAATCTTAGTAACTCTTAGTTCCGGGGGGCGTGGTAGTCCCTTTTCGGTAGGTCGGGATAATACTATCCCACGTTTCTTCCGGCTATACCGTAGCGCCGGTATTATAGTATCGCTATAATAGTATCCCGGGAGGGAGGCGGTGGTTATAATCTCGGTCTTAGTGGTTTTATCGATTATACTCCTATTAACGCGCCCGTGGTTAATAGGCGTGTCGATCCCGGGTTATTATTAGTATATACTTTAAACGCTTTTTACTCTTACTATATCGTGGCTATCGGCTTTAATACCCGTTTTCGTGTTAAAGCTATTCTTTTTCCGAGTTATCCTTATTAGTCGACTTATCCCCGCTTTTATCGTGATCCTTCGCGCGAGTCTCTTTAACCTTCTAGACCGTATCTTAGTTTTCTTTTAGCTTTTTATAGTTCCGCGCGATATACCCTTTCTTATTATAGTTATAGTATATCTAAGTCTTTTACTTCGCTTTCCTATTACTAACACGGTTTACTCCGCCTATCTTTATATCTCTATTAGTATTCTTTTTTATAGTTACGTAGTTTTAAGCTTATTTATTATAGTTCCGTTCGAACTAATAACCTTTAAGGTTCCCGGTAATCTTTTATACGCCGTTAACCTATATAGTAAAGTGGTTAGTAAGGATATAGGTGGAGATAACCTGATCCCTAAATCGCGAGGTAATCACTCTTTTAAGAAATAAAATCTATATAGTAGCTTTCTATTTAGTACCGCCTATAAAAGCGATCTATCTTTTTAAATAGGGTAGGAAAGCGGTAAATAATTTATCGGACTTTAACGAATTATATATAAGGCTTAGGTAGCTCGCGATTATTCTATAGGGTTAAGGTAGGTATAATTAAGATACGTTATAAAGTCGTTAGGGTTTATAAGCTTACCCGGTCCGTTATATTTATAGAAGGCCGATATAACTTATTATACTTCGGGCCCTAAGTAATTATAGATTATATACGAAGCTTATATATTATTCTATAATAAGTCGCTATCGATTATAAGGTTTTACCGTATCGCGTAGACTTATATACTATAGTATACTCGCTTCCCTAAAAACTTCGCCGGGCTATCGATAATCCTACGGGGTGCCGCTATTAAGGTCGGGGCGGTTATTATTATTATTAGCCATAGCGCTAGCGATAAAACCGGTAATAGTATAGATTCTACTAGTATAAGGATTATCGGGGTCTATAAAGAAGCCGGAATACTTAAGTTATGCGGTATTAGGTTTTACAGAGTAAGCGATCCTAGGAGCTAGACTATAAGCTATTCGACTAATAGGCGTTATCGCTTATTAGCTTCTTCTCTCGCGTATTATCGGTCTATAAACTAGCGTATTTCCGAGTAATATTCTTATATTAGAGTAAACCTTATATTAATATCGGTATATTATTTATAAAATGGACTTAGCCTTATGTTTAGGGCTTAGTTATTTTCTTCGAATTATTAGTTTATTTACTCCGTGACCTATTTAATTCTAATAGGTCGCTAGGCGGTAGCGTTAGGATCCTAATCTATTGCTAGCATAGCGTATAGGTATCGCTAAGTTCTAGATATATAAACGACTAGTTATGGGTCGTGGCACTAAGTAAGGTCGTAATAATAGATTATCTAGAACTAAGGAGGGAAGAAGGAAAAAGGAGAAAAGTCTATAGTGCTAGGCTAGCTATAAGATAGCGATAACTTGGCGATATGGGTGCGTTGACTAAGCGCATAGTCAGGAAGATCCGGAGTATAGCCGGATCCTTATATCGGGGTTAACCCTTAATAAGTAGGCGTAGTAGCCTTTTTATAGCGGATAGGGATTATATACGTAGCTTAATATCTCCGTACCTAAGGATAGGTGCCTTATAGGTGCTTACTTAAAGGGATAAAGATAAAGTATTGGTGGGTGGTCTAACGGCTATAAAATATCCTTAATTATTAAAGACATAGATTAACGATCCTAAGTCTAGGATCGCGTACTATAATAATACTTTAGTTTAGTTAATAAAGAGGGACGCTCCCTATTATAATCTTAATAGTGCTATTATATAAGGGCGCGCTACTCCCCATTCTTAGGAGGGGTGGACGCCTAATTACCCTATTACGGTAACGGATAGGTCGTTTAAAGCTATGGTTATAATAGGCGTAGTATTATAGAGTTAATCTTCCTAGACCTCCTCTATCTTACTAGTAGTGGTAGCCCCTAAGGCTTCCCGCCTTTTCTGTATCGCAGTATCTACGCGGCTTTTAAAACTATAGTTATATATATTCTTTTCTATAACCTTCGTAATATCCTCGCGGCCACGCTAGGTATAAGGGTGTATATCCGGCCTTACGTACTAATAGGCGACGGTAGTATATGTATTCTCGTATATCTTATAGGGCCTCCTTATTACGGGAGGGATAGCCTTTACGGATATATCGCTACGAGGATACTTTTTATTATCTTTATTATTAACAGTAATAATATCCTTAGTATTAGGGAGGTTCCCTAGGGTATTAAAGATGCCTCTCCCGACTCTAGGCTTTATAGCGGAGGATTATAAGCTCTTTATATTACTAAGAACCGCCCTTAAAGCCTTTACGAAGTTATTAATTATTAGCTTATTTTCCGTAGTCTTATTATAGTTATTTACTAGGTAATTATTACTCTATTCCTAGGCAATAGGTCTGATAGCTTTTAACGCGTCTTCCGCCTAATAGTCCGCGCTTAATAGCTCTAAAACGCCTATATATTTATAGTGTATTATCGCTGTTTTCTAGCTTATAACCCACCCGTCTATATCCTTAGGTATAGTCTTTATAAGCGTAGAGAAATCTATAATCTATATATACGTAGCGGGCTTTAAACCGGCATCTTTATAGCTTTATAGTAGTAGCTACCACTTATCTAACTACTCCCCGTGCTTCTTAAGGCTATTCGTAGGGTACCGAGTATACTCGATATACTCTTTATAGGTATCGGTTTAGCGGGTAGCCAGGTACTAATCCGTATCGCGTTTAATGGCTTCGTACACCTTATAAGGTATACCTTCTTATAGTAGTTATCTACGGCTTTAGTCGATAGTATTAACCTATTAGGTTAGTATAGCGTTAATCCCTTTTAGGTAGCTATCGTATTACGCTTATAGGATCTTCTAGCGCGCGATTTCGATATCGTACGCCTTCTAGCTAGCGTCCATAAAGTCAAGATATTACGTAGGGGTACGCCTAAGCGTTATAAAGGGGAAAGAGTCGTAATTCGGTATTATAGGCTCCTCGGGGGATTAAGTCGGATCGACTTAGCGGAGAAATCGCTATACGTTATTATAGGTAGTAACCGATCTATATAGGCGTCGCTAAAGCTCTTAATCCTTATAGGTTTTATACGTAATAAGGCTAAGATACGATGTCTTAATAGTTATTTATAGATTAACACGCTATATCGGCGCGGCTAGATAGCTTCTTAAATTCATAGTAGTAAATGTAAAATGGTAGGTAAATTAGTATATCTTCACTTAGTAAGTAAGACTCTTAACTATTAAATATAGCGTAGTCAAAATCGTTATAAAATAGGTTAAAATTAATTAAGGTAATTATATACAATTATAACTATCACAGACCGTCAGGGAAACGCTGCCACTGTATTTTATATAGTGCAGATTCTGCAAGCGTCCACCCGGATTATACTCTTAGCAATCCGGCCCATTACATAACCGAAAAAGACTGTTGTCTGTTCGACAGCGGCTGGTATTAGGTGCTGTCAGTAGTGCCCTAGTCGGAATAACCAAGTGCCCTAGTCGGACTAACCCCACCCAAATAAGTGCGGCGTGGCACGGGTATCCCCTATTATTTCGGCGTTTCGTGAATATCACTCCTTGTCGATACTCGAGCTTGCTTCGTTAGCATTTACCGCCCTGGATAGCTCGTCATAACGGTCACGCAACTCTTCCTGCCCCCGACACCACATCCGCCATCACAATGCCGATGATGAGGCCATGTCCTCTCCTTACCCGTCGCCAGATCGAGGGCATGATTGCTGAGGGTCGTCTTGTTACCATTGTGGATGTATATGTCCTCAAAATGGATGGGTGGATTAAGCATCACCCCGGCGGCGACAAAGCCATAATGCATATGGTTGGCCGTGATGCAACCGATGAAGTTACCGTGTATGTTAACCATCGTTAACTCGCCTAGAAACTCGAGAGTATTCTAATATGTCCCATCCAGTCTGCATTCTCCCGAGGCAAGGGATCAGATGATGCGTTATCGCATTGGCAGAATCGAGGGCCGCTGGAAGAATTTCGTGCCACCGATTCAGGGAGGCCAGTTTCGATTACCAGATGAAGGCGACGATACAGAGCCTAGCCAGCACAACCGACCAGACTCCGCCAAGTCAGACGCTGAATCAATGTGCTCTAGCGTGGCCAGTTCGCGCGAAACGTCGCCCGTTTTCGATGTCGACGAATCATCCATCCGCCGTCGTCGGGGCGCACGAACGATAGCGGGATCCCCTCCGACCTCGACAACTTCAGCGTCTACCGAAGAAGATGAACTTCATAATGTGACGCCCATGGGGTTCCTCGACGCCGAGACGAGGAAAGCCATACATCTAGATCTGGACAAGTATCCGTCCCTTGACGGAGACACGCAGGCCAGTATCGTCCGAAAATACCGTCAATTGCACGAAAATATCAAGGCAGAGGGGCTTTACGATTGCGACTACTCTTCCTATGCCATAGAAGCCGGTCGTTATTGTCTACTCATGTTCGGGGTGCTCTTTTTTCTGAAATGGGGATGGTACGTCCCGAGTGCCGCCTGTTTAGGCGTTCTTTGGCACCAGCTCGTTTTCACTGCTCATGACGCCGGACATATGGGCATCACGCACAACTTTCACGTCGATACCTGTATTGGCATTTTCGTTGCAGATTTCATTGGTGGCTTGTCTCTAGGTTGGTGGAAACGAAGCCACAACGTACACCACATCATCACCAATTCCCCGGAACACGACCCTGACATCGAACATATGCCCTTCCTGGCCATTTCCCATCGCTTCTTCGGCGATCTTTACTCGACATATTATGAGCGCTTGATGAAGTATGACGGGTTTGCGAAAGTTCTTCTCTCGGTACAGTCCCGCATGTTTTATGTGATCATGCTTTTCGGACGCTTCAATCTCTACATTCTCTCTTGGGACCATCTTATTTTCCGTCGTGGCCCGAGAAGAGGCCCTGCATGGTGGCATTGGTGGGCAGAGATGGCTGGTCTTGTTTTCTTCTGGGCCTGGTTTGGCTACGGTTTGGTCTACCGGTGCATCCCAACGGCGTGGGATCGCCTCGTATACGTCCTCGTTAGTCATATATTGCAAGCGCCTGTGCACATACAAATCACGCTCTCGCATTTCGCTATGAGTACGGCTGACCTGGGCCCGGACGAATCTTTCCCCCAGAGGATGCTTCGAACCACTATGGACGTTGATTGCCCGAAGTGGCTCGATTTCTTTCACGGTGGACTACAGTTCCAAGCTATCCACCACCTATATCCTCGCATCCCTCGCCACAACCTTCGACGAACGCAAAAGCTCGTGCAGGATTTCTGTGATGAGGTTGGCATACCCTATGCACTGTACGGCTTTGTGGATTCCAACAAGGAGGTCCTTGGTAGGCTTGCAGATGTTTCAAGGCAGGCCGCAATTCTGGCCGAGTGCCAGAGAGTCGTGGCTATAGGAGCTTAGTATTATAAAGGTATCTAGAAGCTAAGTCTAGTATATAAGGCGCCTACTATATAACTTTCTAATATAATACTTTATTATTATTAGTATTATCTATCTTACTCTGCTATCTTATCTAAATTTATAGGAATATAGCTAGGTTATACGGTCCTTCTAGGGTAGCTATAAAGGGGAAACCCCGGGAAACCCCTTTATACTCTATATTAGTATAGTAGTGCCCTATAAGGGCCGATATAGCCCCGATTCGCCTTATTTATATATTTAGATTATACCTTTCCGCTAGTACCTAATAGAAAGGATAGTAGGCTAAGGGTATAGGTTAGCTTAGGCGGTCCGCTTATAAGGGGAGTAAGGAGACTAGAGAGCTATTAAGGGTTTACTAAAAGGCGTTTATTATATAGCCCCTTATATAGTCTCTTTATATTCTTTAAAGGCTAATCCTATTATTCTTTTCCGTATAATAAAAAAGAATAGGTAGGATAGGCTCCTCCTATATTCCTTTTAATAAGTGCCTTTTATATATAGTAGATAGTAAAAAAAATAGCCCCGCCTATAATAGTAGATAGTAAATAGTTAGTATCTATTACTACTCTCTTTATATATCCTTTCTTTCTTTCCCTATATCGCTATTACGGTTACTATAAGTTGTCCTATTATTATTATTATTATTATTATTATTATTATTATTATTATTATTATTATTATTATTATTATTATTATTATTATTATTATTATTATTATTATTA